TATATGAGGAAGTGAATAAGGGAGATTTCCTATCTGTGATGTGACGCTCTTTCATTTCATGCGCTGAGAGCTTGAAGTGCTGTGAGGAGGCTTAATGCTTCAGCACTTTGTAATAAAATGGACGGTAAACCTCAGATAAGAAGCCTCTTATCCTCAGTTTATTGACAGTTTCTGAAGCCTCTCTGCAGGAAATCACATTCTGTCAGCAGCCTTTGATGTCTTTTGAGATTGACACTTCCTCAGGGTGGAAACACTGGTTCTGACCCCACCCCAACACTTCGCGGCCTGGACACTGCTCCCCTGTCGTAGCCTCTGGCCTCTAATGCGGAAGTTTCTCTCACCCCCGCGACTGTGTTGTCCCTCCTCTTATAATCCCCCACCTCAGATAACTTATGCACGCTCTCCACAACCACCTCTCCCGTCTCCTCCTTCTCCCAGTCTGTCTCTCCGCACAGCTAAAAGCCGGCTATGGGCCGCTGAGTACGAGCGGAACAATAGTGGCCTTTCAGGCGCTCTGTGCTGGCGCTGGGAGAGGGCTGCGGTCCTGAGACCCAGTCAATATTTGGACGTGGTTGCCTTTTTGTGTCCGTTTTTAATCCAAGCGGAACCAAGCGGCAGGGAGCCGGGAAAAGGCTGAGAGGGGAAAGCAAGGGTAAACACAGGGAACAATGCAAACGGGGCAACTCACAATGCCACTGGGAAACTATCACAACATCAGCTCGCCACCAAGTGAAAAATGGAGTATTGTTTCTTTAAGTGGAGATTAAAAAGAGAGCAGTGTAAGAAAAGCAAATAGTGGAGGTCATTCTGCTATGAGAAGAAATGTGTGTCAAGTCGAGGAGCTTACTACCATTTTTGAGGTATTACCTCAACCAAAAACAATCAAGCAGGTCCAGAAACTTGGAAGGAAAAGAGCATTTGGATCATCAGAGAGGTCTTTTAAGTCAATAACCACGCTTATCTCAGACATAAAACTAGCCACTGAAGCGATTCTTTGATTGTCTTATGGAGAAATATGTTGCATCTGCTGGGGAAAGCTTTGGGTGGGTATTATCAGGGATTAAAGGAAACCCCTGGGGTGACAGTGCTCTCCTTGAACACTGGAATCCCTCTCTCCCCAGCTGTCAGGTCGTTAGTCCCACCCAATGAGGTTCTTTGATGACGAGGGGTATCAGTTTCCATGGCGTCCGAGACACAAACAGCTTGGGAGATTAGGGACGGAACTCGGCCCTGATTCTCCGTTGATCCCACCTATCAGCAACAAATAAACACCTTGGGCCGCGGCAACGCCTGCATGCGGACCATATGGACCCGGGTGGGTTTTAATGAAGCAGTTAAATAGCTGGTGAGCAGGGAATTCACTAATAGCTCCTTGTCAGAGCAGCAGTAAATACCCCACTCATACACTTTACTCCATCACTGGTTACCGACACAGACAGCAAAGCTGACAAGGAACATCTGTGGCTCATTTTTCTTACATGAGCCTTTCCACCACAGTTTTTAATTTCTAGCTTTTGATTTCTTGTCTCCATTGGGCTGCTTTTGTCTTGGTGCCACTTTCTAATAAAACATACTCACATACTTCAGGCAGTATGAGCTGTAACTAATGACTTTATTAACGTTTAATACACATGTTAATAATACTTTATCAGTTACACTTTATAAAGGGTAACTACTTCTACGTTTATAATGGCTAATAAATCAGGTCTGCATGCTTTATAGATTAGCAACTAGCTAATGCCATCATAAACTCTGATCTACAAAGTCATTCTTAATTATTTATTAACCATGTGTTACAACTTCTTTATCCTGCTAATAGCGCCTTGTCAATATGGCAGGAGCTACAGTAAAACCGCAGTCATACATTGTTCTTATCTCAGTATCTCAAACTGCACGTGTCTACTACTTTTGTATTTAGCCACAAACTGAATTTTCTGTTTAGTTTTTCATGTTTCTCACTTGGATCATAAGTCATTAATTCTGCAGTTGTAAAAGTCACTTAGTTGTTAATAAATGGGTTTTGGTCCACATGTTCTGCAGCCCTTTTGCAGGAAGCAGGGGGGCGAAGTGTCCGTCGGAGGAGTCTACTTTTTCACAACCTGGCAACATAAAAGCTGTCTCACTGATCTGTAAACATTAATAAATTACGATTTATAATCCCATAGATACCGTTAACAATACTGATAACAGTATGAGAGGGACTTGTAGTGATGCCACTACATATCACTCTTCTATGACAATATCTGAAACCACTCTGTGTCTAAAAGGAGTTGCAGTTTTTTTCGCCACATATTCTATAGATTTTTTGTAAATTCCTACATTATTTACAGGTTACAGGATTATATCCAATTAGGAGCATTCCCTGACTTTCCAAGCCTGCATAGCAAATATGTACACATTTTACGCACATTACATCCCCTGACTAATGGACTGACTCAGAGTAGACAGTGCAGCCTCTACACTCAGTGAATTACATTTGACTGATGAATACCACAATGGAACAATCTGAAGCTTTTTTTGGGCTGATGTGGTAAAACAACAACTAAGAGTCATTACATAAATTGTGCCTCTGCAGTTTCGCTCGAACAAGGCTCCCTGATACTGGAGTTTCATTTAATTTCATTAAGTAGCTTATACAAGCACAGCTACTTGCTGTCACTGTGGGAGCTTTTCAAACTCCAGGCGAAAGCTGAACCATCCTCAGGGCTGTAAATCCCTCCTCCACCGCTCAGAGTCCTGCTCGTCTGAGCCTAATCAGCAACGAGCATCAGCACGAGAAGATGTTTCCCTGAGATGAAAGCATAGCGAAACATGGTTGCATGTTTATCTAAATCACAAAAAGGCTCCTTTTAAAACAACAGAAAAACATGGAAATGTCATTGCATTTCCCTTTTTCACGACTCACTTCCCATTTCAATTCCAGAGCTCCTGTAGGGGATTTCATGAATGGCTGAGTATGGACTGCTGCTCCGGATGCCATTTTCCCCACTTTGGTCAAATATGTAGCAGAGAAGGCAGAGAGGGGGGTAAGAAAGCTCATCTGGAAGTTGGGACTGTGCCGCAGCAGGTTCCCAGGGCTCTAATACTGAGTATGGTTACATTAAACAGCAGGGATCTGGGGCCCACGAGCTTGTATGGAATACTGTTAGGTTCTGCTGCGGGTCAGGGGGGCCCCCAGGCTTTGAGCACGGCCCTCTCTTACATTATACAGCCAGGGTCAGGTTTAGATTAAAGTCATGAATGAGAAAAGGAGACAGTCATTTAGAGTTACTCATTTATTTAGCCCCCATTCTGCAGAGACAAAGCCCAGGCAGGGTGCCGTGCCGGGGCCGTCACCGGGCCCCATGGCCGGCGGTACTGCCCCGGTTTTGACCCTGACAACGGTCTCCTCTGTGCTGCTTAACCCGTAACTCGCCTGGTTACTACCAAGTGTGTGACCTCAGCATGTGTGGATCTCTCACAAGAGGGAGCACCACGCTGTGCCTTGGCCGCAGCTGAAATACCCCTGTGTACCCCCTTATTGTCTGCCTCAGCGTGGGCCGGGAGGGGGGCAGAGGGGGTGGAGGTGGGGGGGACACTTGGACGGGGGAGCATGGCAACCAAGAAACCAGACTTGGGAACTGTTTGAAGGCCAAGACAGAAAAAACAACCTGCAGCCTTTGAGTGGGACAGAATGCTGTTATCAGACTATCTGTCGGTTAGTGGAGCAGGAACTCCATCAGCCTTTGATGCTACCACCACATTTACATTTGTATCATTAACATCTTGCCAGTTCAGCTCCTCTGAAGCCACACAAACCAGTTTCTATTCCCTAAGCAAATGTTGATATGAATTACTCTTTTTTGACTCATGCCGAAACTGTGGCCTAATACCAGACAGAGGACGATGAAAGTATTCCTGTCCAACTGAAACAAAGTGACACACACTCATTATATCACTATGTGCTTAAGTGCCAAGAGTGAGGCACTGAGTCACCAAGGGAAGTGCCTTGACACACAGAGGAGAGAGTTTAGGAGGAGAAATGTCACTTTAGTATTTAAATTAGAAGAATCTGGGCTCACCTGAAAATACTTTTTCTACAGCTTTGTAATAATTAAAACCAGAGAGCAACAAAAAGTTTTCAGCTGCAGGTTTTTAGTCACCCAATGCAACAAAATATACTTTATCAACACTTTCTGAGCAAAGCAGCTGTGACAACCACTGTGATAGTCACAGACACTGTGTTGCTAATAAACAATTAATAAATCACAAGCTTGACAGAAACATCACCTAAGACTCATTGGATGGGTCTCCACTTGGCACAAAATCAATTCTGTCAATTGTAATCGATGGCAGCAGACTGGAGGACACTCAGCACTATTTCAGCGCAGCAACTCAGCCGAATACATTTCTCCCAGCGCTTGTAACACTCCTCATGTATTTCATTTTCGGCCTGAACGTGGGGCAAACGCTGAACATGAATGCGTAATAGCGCGTAATGGTGCGTAATAGCGGACAGCCTGTGTGAAAATGCCTTGTTGTTTCTCTGTCAGGTATGATTTATGCTGCTCAATGTGCACAGTTTATTACAAAGATGATCCAGATATGGAGGATTATTAAACGGTAATCAGCACAACGATCCATCAATGACGACAACAAATAAAAGGTTCTAGTCAAGCCTGAACCAAGCAAACACTCACATTTATCAATCGTGTGTGTGTGCCGAAGAAGAGTTCATAATGTTGGTAACTCAGAGCAAATGTTACACCATAAGAGGCATTGTTGAAAATTGATGTGTTAACAGCTTTGTTTTTAAATTGTAAATATATAAAGCGATGTTTAGTTTTGCTTCCCTAAGTGGATTACTTTGCTTTTTAGCACTTGTGATGCTTCAAACGGACTGTACACGCAGTCACTCAACAGACTGTAAACCGGTTAGAGTGCAGCTTCAATCGGGCAACATCAAGGGTGATGGAGCCCCTGTGTGCCGGTGCGTCCCTGCGAGCGGGCGGGCGACTTACTTGGGGTTGGTCCGGTTCCAGTAGACGGCGTAGCGGTCGGACACCACCTTGGAAGCTGGGTCCTGGCCGTACACGCACATCCCAATGATGAGGATGAGGAAGATGATCATTTCCACCTGCGGCATTCTGGCTCTGGAACTCCGACGAAGCCAAACGGATTACAGTCCCTCCTCCGGTTCAGGTTTAAAGACTGATGGATGTGGTGGTGAAGTGTTGGGATGAGAGTCCACTTCACGCGTTTTATTCCCGCACAGATGTAGCTCCCTCCTCGGGTTTTTATTACAAAACTGAAGCTTAATGTCTTCCTCTTCTTTCTAAAAGAGCGGTTTGTTGTTCAGTCTCAGTCAGATCTTACTTTGGACCAAACTAAATCCAATCTATTTCTGCCTTACACACGGACAATCTTCCTTCGACTCAACTCCGCTCCGCGCAGCCAACACTTTCTCCAACTCGCACTGAATTTCCCAGAGAGGAGGCAACGTTGCGTACGGAGTGGAAAATATAAAAAAAACACAACAAATATATAAATAAATGTTCCACAATGTAAAGATATATATAAAAAAAAGAGCAGAGACGCAGCTCCTTGTGCCGTCGCTCAGCTCTCTCCGGCTCAGGATCTCTCCTCCTGTTCGCTGTGAATCACCAAGAAGCCAGAAAAGAAGACTCGCAACCAGCAGCTCAGGCTCCCGCAGCTGCCCGAGCGCTTCTGCCCTGCGGAACAGCAACGCACGCAGTAAATCAAACCTCTCCGCCGCGCGTAAACGCACACAGTCTCCGGGTTGAACGTCCCCCAACGAGCGCCACGAGCAGCGGTCTTATCAACGTGGAGGAAGCGAACCAAGTCAGCGGCGCTCCTCTGGCTCCTGCGGCCATGCTCTCCCGGACCAACCCCCCTTCCTCCAACCCCTCCACTCCCCCCCTCCCCAATCTCTCTCTCTCTCTCTCTCTCTCGTCCTCCCTCCTACTGTGCCAGCCGCTGCACGCTGCAAGAAATGTTCGTCTTTTGCTGTTTGAGCGCAGAAACATAAAAGACTGTTGAGTCTTCTTCTGGAGCTCGTATTGTCACATTCAGTGTATGCAGCTGGTTTCATCAGCTCTGCTTCACCTCCACTTTCCCGTGTTCACTGGTTGCAGATCAGCCTACTGTTCACATTCACTTGGGGTTTTGCGCGCAGCCGCTACAGCGCTGTTTGTTGTTGCGCGCATTTCTTGCAGCGTACAGTTTCACGGTTGCTCACAGCCTCATTGGTTTGGATTTTGAATGACGGGCGTTTCGCTTACAAAAACAACGTCCCTCCTCCTTGGGGGTATCTGTGTTTCCCAGGCCGGCAGACAGGTCCCAGATCAGTTCATAAAGCTGCTGCACAACAAGCTCCTTTCACGGGATAAACTTTATTTTCTCTTAGTCATGATCTCAGTCTGGAAGTTTCACTTTCCCACATTTGTCCAATTAAAAGGCTATAAAGTAGCTCTTATTCTAATGTGTCATAACCAAAGTTCAGCTGTTTTCAATGCAAATTAGCTCCGTTTAAGAATTTACTGACATTAATTATCTTGTCAGAAAATGCGCCTCTCTCACACTGTTTTGATCCAAGACAGTTCTTGAACTTGAAAAAATGTCTTGAGAGCAGTAAAAGTACCATAAGTATCTCAGCTGGCAGAGTTTTGACTTGTTTGAGGGAAAACAAAATTTCCATTCTGCACTAAATGACCCGAGAAGAGACAGATTTTATTGGCAGCTCCAAAGCAAAACTGCTTTCATTTCTTCTTGTTTACTGCTTCAGATTTTCTAGGCAGTTTTATTGGCCACACATTTATCTCTAAGCCTTTTTAAAACTTTGCCTCCCTCAGGTTTCAGGGCTGCAAACACAGTGTGCTGTTTGGTTTGGGTGCATGACTCAGTGCGCCACGTAGTGGTGGTCATAGGAAAACCATGTGTACTGTCTGAGGATCCACAGGGTCTGCTTTAGAGGAATTCAATACACTGCTCATTAAACAGGAGAGCATGTTTAACTGCTACTCTGTTTGGGTGGGATTATTAAAAGTATTTAGGCTACATAAACATCACCAGGTGGGGTTTAGAGATTGTCCATCAGTGAGTCAGTGCAGATACAGACAGACTTTAGCCTGGTAGCTGAACTAATCCTCCTCATAACAACAGTACCACTGAGGAAGCTCGTCCGAGGGCTGCTGGGTTCAGTGTAAACTTTACATTTGACGCTGAACAGTCTCCACTGCTGCCCAAACTGGGGCTTCTGTTCACAAACGGCCTGATTTATTCCACCTGAACAGGCTGAGAACTCCATCTCGCCTGGTTCAGAGTTGCTCCCCATCTGTTTAGCCCCCGATGCCACAGTGTGTACACTTAGTTCAAAACAATTTATCAGAGCACAAAAAGAAAGAGCTTTTATAGAAGCAACATGGATGGATGCGGTAGAAATAGTTTTTCAAATGATGAGGGTTTTTATGTTACCAGGAGGTAAAATAGATGATAAGCTCCAAAATGAAGTGAAATAGAAAGAGCACTGGGTAGCTTTCACATCAAATGCTTTATATATCATATCAAATGCTTTATTAACTGTGACTGAGTGGCACAGTAGCTAAGTGGTTCACACTGCAGCCTCAGAGCAAGATAACCTCAGAAAGTTTGAATCCAACAAGGAGCTTTATAGATCAAATATGCATGTATCTCCTCGTGCTCCTGCTGCATGTCCGGCCCCTTTACCTGCTAGATGTTCGCTGAAGTGTCTATCTGCAGTTTTGTGCTGGATGTGTGCTGTACAGTGGGTTTGTCAGAGCTTCATTATGAATAAAAAAAAATGATTCATGGAGCTTAAAAGAAACACAGAATGTGTTATGGTGAGAAACCTTGAAGGTAAAAAATGTTTCTTCACAATAAAAGCAACTCAGAGCCCAAATGAGTCCAACAAAGTGAATCAGGATTAAACAGTTTCACAAAGCCAAGTTAGAGCTGATGAGATCAGATTAAGTCAAGTCGGGTTTATTTCATGACTTTGAAGCACAGACCTGTGACATTAAGCACTCACAGTGAAGACAACTGATGTATAAAGACAAAACTGTGATCAGCAGTACATATTAAACATATAATATAAAGTGTAATATAGTATATTATAATATATATAGTAACATATTATAATATAAAGAGTATTATGTTATAATACAAAGAGTATTATAATATATAAAGTAGTATGTTATAATATAAAGAGTATTATAATATATAAGGTAGTATATTATAATATAAGGAGTATTATAATATATAAAGTAGTATGTTATAATATGAAGAGTATTATATTAAACCAAAACCACTGTAATTAACAACACAAAAGTCTTGCATGAGTAACATGAGCATACTTTGTACAAGGACTGTCAAAAATGTATACGAGTATGGAAGTTGATACAAGATGACGTTAAACAGCTTATGAAATGAGACCCCAGTCTGCTGATTTATTTTAAAACAAGAAATTAACATAATCAGCATTTTGGACCATTTCAGGCCCTCCAGCCGCCTCCCTCCCAACATGATGTCAAAAATATAAAACAATCCGGGCCGTAATATTAGTTTTTAAATGATTTTTGTTTTTGTTTCATATCAATTTAAACCACCCCTTCATAAACAATTGAAATGAAAACACAATTCTGTTTTATAAAATGTATTGTATTTGGCCCCAGATAATGGCAAAGGTCAAAGGTGATAAATGATTGATAAGAAGAAAGCATGTTTACTTGTTGTGGTTTGGCTGTGAACAACAAAGATGATATAAAGTAGTCTGGGGGGGATCATTTTCCAAGCTTACTTAGCTCAGACTTATTTTAACCCCCTTTATCAAACATCATTTACTGAAACCTGACCTACTGAATTAAGAGTGATATCGCTGGTAAACTGTGAAGAACTTCTAACTTCCCCTGAATCTGTGCACCCGCTGTACACCACGAACCATCAAATCGCTGGTGAGCGAGGTGAACCCACAGCTCATGATCATCTTCCTGTGGGCTTTGTTTACAGTAAATCCGCCTCACACTGTGTTTGTTTGGGTGCCATGGTGAGGTCAGTGCGTGTGCGCATGCATGCACGCGTGTCCTGTAAATGCAGGGATGTGTCTACACGAACCTGCACAGTGTTTTGCGCGCATGTGTGTGTGTGTGAGCTCAAGTGCACACTTCTTTTGTGCATGTGCATGAGCGTCTGTGTGTGCCTGTGTGTGTGTGTGCATGCACATCAGACTGATCATCCACCTCACCCAGACTAATCCATGAGCTATAATCACCTCATCTCCCCAGCTAAAGTGCCTGTCCTGCTTCATTTACGCCTGATATACGTCTGTGTTCCCCAAGACAATGGAGTCATTATAAATTAGGGTCAGTGGGGCTGCCAGCACAACACACAGCGGTGCATCCTAATGTTTCTCATGGCCTCATGAATTGACTGTCACATACAGGGAGGAATGAGATCTCTGTACAAAGTATATATCACAGACGTGCTCCACGGCAAGCAGAGTGAGGGTAGCGTCGAGGCGACAAGCGCTGCAGATTGTTCTGTTTTTTTATTATTGTTTATGAATGCAATCTGTAATAACCCAGTGCCATCAAAGTGTCACTGAGTGTTTATGTGACACAGGCATTACAGCCCTGCAGTCCTCTTCCATTAGCAGCTCGTAAACAGACTGTAATCACGTTCAGCTCTGCAAAGAAAAATCCATTTCAATATTCCTATCTTGTACAGAGACGTAAATAAATAGTTTATTTTTTCTTAACACAAGTTAAATATCTGCTGTAGCCACTTGAGTTGTTCATATTTTGTTGATTAATTTGTTAGTTTTGTCAAGATTTCATCACAGATCTTTTATAATAATAATAAACCTTTTTATATAGTACGTTTCTTCACAGTGTTACAAAGTGCTTTACAGAAAGAAGTAAAACCAGAAAACCAGATAAAATGAGAATAAAGCCAAAGAGCATAAGCACACACAAAGTAAATACCATAAATGAATAAATAGGACTAAAAACAGTATAAATAAATACATCATATTATATATCAAACATTTCCAAAAGCTGTCACAAAGAAGAAAGTTTTAAAAGAAGTCAGAGTCATAGAGAAAGTGTGGGGGCTCTAACAGAAAAAACCTGACCATCCTTCTTCAACTTACATTTTATGAATAGTAGGGAGGATGATTAGAGCCACGAGGCAAAAAAATATTATTGTTTCTTCCCTGCAAAAGAAAAAATAAAAAGCTGTGTTTTTTTCATTAGGTTTGTTATAGGAGTAAGGACCTGGTTGGGCCTTGGCAACCTCCCTTTTCTTTCCTTTGTCTGTATGAGGTCTTGTTGACAGTTTTTTATATAATATAAATGGGCCAAAATGTAGCTGTACAATAAACACTTTTACAATAAGATTTTTGATCTTTGTTACTTTGACTTTTTGATTAGATTTTTCTCTGAAATTTCATCCACAGTTCCACAGACAATTAGACAAGAATCAGGAAAAAACAGCCAGAAAGAGTACGAAAAGATGCAGGCAGCACACTGACATTCAAGCTAACATAACATTCTCTAGTGCTAATTCATGTGGATGAAGCATTAGTTATAATGTTACTTTCAGTCGGCCTTATGTTGCCATTAGAAGGAATGAATTCCAGGATTAATGGCGTCAACCATCTTCCTCTAGGTGTTTGCTGGGGTCAGCAGTCTGTTGTATTGCTGCACAGCAGAGTGACATTGGCTCTGAACCACAGACTGTCTGAACAAGTGAACTGCCTTTTCCGGTAACCTTGCAATAGATGAGAACAAGATGGCGAAACCTAGCTTTAAATGTTTAGAAAATGAAAAATGCATAACAAAAAAATACAATAAAATTTAATTGAGACAAACTAGACTAAA